AATACTGGGGCGAATACCGCAACTCACCTCATTGGCCATGGTGGTACTGTCAGCTCATTTTAAATAATCAGAGCGTCCTTCACGGCCTGCGGCGCCTCATTGACGAGGGCAGAAACAATGTCACCGCTGACGGAAAGTTCACCGGTTCCACAGTCGACGAAAGCGCCACATTCTTGGTGAAAGTCAAGTTCAAGAATAACATCGTGGGTACGACGTTGCAGCACAAGAAACTCTGTTGGGAAAACCTTTCCTGCCAATAAGACGTTGACGGCACAAACTCCAACAGGATAAAATACTTCCCCACCAACACCACAAAATCTTGTTGAGTCGCCACAAGAAAACAAACCTTTGCGGCCAACGAGACTTTTGAAAGATATACTCCTAACCTATATCGTAGCACCAGTGTCCACCAAAGCACTTGTACGAAAGCTATCTATTTCCACGCGTATCTTGTTCTTGGACAATATAACTGGCGGAAGCATTTAAGGTAAATCATTTTGTGTGACCTCACCGCTATTGGTCACGCTGGCTGGTTTGCCGGCGGCGGCGGTAATGACAGGCGTCCTCCTGGTGAAGGTGATCGATGCAGTCGGCCAGATGGAGGCGTCGAACTATGGTCAGAGGCGGGAGAACAGCCATACCTCAGCAGCTTGTATTTATTGCGCTGTGACCACTGTGGTGAGGGTGGCCTGTAGTTGTAGTCATCGACACCTGCTGCGGCTATCGACACGGGATGGCGAGAGGGAGGCGGCGCGGGTGTAGCTTCGTACGGCGTCGAGTGAGCGTGTCGAGAGAGATTTTCTCGAACAATTTCGCGTATTGTCGATGCGAGACCAAGCGGCGTGTATTCATCAACACTCGCCACGGTGGTTACATTCGGTAGGCAACCGAACTTGGGAGTGATACGTCGATCTTCAGGGCCTCGAATGTGGGATAGTGACTTATGACATCGGTTACCGTGTGAAAGCTCTCTTTGATGATGAGGAACTGATACACACCCTCGGCACTGCCCTTCAACAAGTGGCCAACTTTGTCTACCTCTGACATAGAAGGGTTGACAATCTTGCAGAGCATCAAGATTGCCTCGACATATGTCGTGCACGTCTCTCCTGGGATCTGAGTTCTCTGCAGTAACGTTTGTTCCGCTTGCTTTCTCAAAGCTACGGCGTCTCTGAAGCACGTTCTTATTTTAGAAACGAAGCCATCCTCTGACTAAAGGGCATCTTCGTGGTTCACACACACGAGCGCTGTGTCTGTTAAAAAAAACTGTACATTGGTCAGCTGAGTCGCCACGTGCCACTGGTAGTAGTTGCTCACCTGTTTGTAGTGTGTGAGCCAGGCGTCCACATCCTCGCCAGATTTGCCACCGAATGTCCGAGGCACTATCAGATCTTAACGCAAACGCGCACCAGTGGCGCGCGAACCTGGCACTAGCGTTGCTGCTGGGACAGATGGAAGGTTCAAAGCTGCGCGATGTGGTTTCTTTCTTCGCCGTGAGACATGCCAGCTGCCAGTGGTAACGGGGGCAGTCTAGCAACGTGGCGGCTTTGTCGTAGATCAAGCGCTTGAAGCGTCGTGTTGCTTAGTTGATTACCCAGCACCTCCACTACACAACTGTTACGGTTGAATAAAATATGGGTGCATTTATTTACAGGGTGAGAATGAAATTAGGTAGTCGCGGTAAAGATGGAGTTCTCAGGCCGCACTAGACAACCTCGTCTTCCACAGTTGCACATCCCCGGCACATACATACTAACAGCCACGCTAATACCGTAGCAATTATATATATATATATATATATATATATATATATATATATATATATATATATATATATATATATATATATATATATGTATATATATATATATATATATATATATATATATATATATATATATATATATATATATATATATATATATATAAGTGAGTTGTAGGATCGTTCTTTCTGCTGCTATACATAGGAGAGGCTGGCAGGTCACTTTATTCGCATTTATTTATTTCTTAATGTTGCCGCCCCGCACCACTTTATTGTAATATATCTGCTGGACTTACGTGGCGCCAGTTAGATAGGCTGCTAACAGACGCAGCAAGATGATTGGATAGCAGTGTGACTTCAACTAAAGAAATGTAATTGAATACTAGTAAAAATGCGTAATTGTCCGCTATTAAGGTGCGTCATGTATGAGAATACTGACATAATTGTACGTAAATCCAGGGCTCAAGGGATATCGTTCTCAGCTATCTCAAGCTCGTGTAAGTGAATTTCGAAAAGCTGCAGAAAAAGCACTCATAGCCTCCAACTTGAATGCGCCTGCATTTTTCGTAATCCATCCTGTCATATATGCTATTGAGCTCTTGAACACATTCAATTAACCGCTGTTAGGTATGTTTTCAGGCGATAAGATCAGTCCGATTATTATGCGAGGTTTAACGTCCCAAAACCATTATATCAGCATGAGAGACGCCGTACTGGAGAGCTCCGTAAATTTTGACCACATGGTGTTCTTCAACATGCACCCCAATCTCAGCACAAGGGCCAACAGCACTTTCGCCTCCATTGAAACTGGAGCCGCTACAGTCTGGACAATAATATCAAATCAACATTGCAGCTAATATTGAAATAACTGTAAGATGACCGTCTCTAAGTAAACGCCGCAAAAACCTTCGCCTAAAACTTCTTTTACTCAACCACAGTCAAACTTGGATCACGGAATGCTAACATTTTCATCAGCCACATTTGCTGGCATCTCGCCGAGACTATAAGCCTGAATTTCGATAAGATTAAAGAGAGCGTCAATATTTTTTAATTTTTTAACTGTACCTAACATGAATGAAATTCGCAGGTGCTCTACCATGTCAAGCGAAACTCTGTGGCAGTGATGCGACGCAGTAATTGTTGGTTTAATGTTGGCATGGCAATTGGCTTAAGAAAGCAAAAAAACCACGACAATGAGCACACTACAAAAAACACAGGACAAGGTTTAAAAGAAAGAGAATATTTGTAGTATCTTATTCATATAGATTAGCCCCGCCGCGGTGGTCTAGTGGCTAAGGTACTCGGCTGCTGACCCGCAGGGCGCGGGTTCGAATCCCGGCTGCGGCGGCTGCATTTCCGATGGAGGCGGAAATGTTGTAGGCCCGTGTGCTCAGATTTGGGTGCACGTTAAAGAACCCCAGGTGGTCTAAATTTCCGGAGCCCTCCACTACGGCGTCTCCCATAATCATATAGTGGTTTTGGGACGTTAAACCCCACATATCAATCAATCAATCAATCATTATTCATATAGATTAAAGTCGTCGATGCTGCGAGCCTTGTTATTATGCAGTACTAAAACACGCAACACAGTCACAGCCTAAGCTGTAAAAGTGTGCGTTATAGAGCCCATTGTACATTGTCTTGAAACGCCGACTGCAAATAAACTTGCGCGGTGACCACCACGTCATGAACCATCACTCTTCTTGCGAAGTGTTTTCAAGGCAAAACACCCACCTACAGAGCTGCAATGTTTGATGAAGTTCTGACTGATACTACTGCTGCTACAAATGATGATGGTGTATAATTATGGCTAGACTCCTTATAATGGGTTGGAAGTTCTAACCGCCCACTCTCTGCGTCAATTACGAGGTGTGTGAAGCATGGTGCAATTATACTCTAATGTCAGGCAATAAAATAGGTCCCTCACCCAACATGACGAACGGGGTTTTTCCTGAAGAACTTTCAAGCACTGACGTGGATCTCTGGTAGAGTAACTTGGCTGACTCACGGAGTCACAAAATTTCGTTCATTTTGCCCTCTTTTATTTGTTTATTTATTTTTTGTTGTACACATCTGATGCAAAACACACAGGCTACTGGCGGAAAATGTTGCCACCGAAATTGCCTGTTTTTGTGAGCTCGTAACAGCTTAGGCCGTAAAACAAATCTTGCACAAACAAAAGTGCTTACCTTCTTTCGAGTTTCCTTTTTTGACGCACGAGAGAATACTTGGGAGGGAGAAGTACTAATTGGATGGCGTTAGACTTTCGTGCAGGAATCTACTATTCAGCTGCTTTTGTAAGTAAACCCCGGTAATACCATAAAACGCCGTTTTATTCGGTTGTGTGCACTCATGTACATAAAATAGTGAGGAGGCCAGCATGGAATCCCCCGCCCAATCACAGCGTTATTTGAAAGAGCGACATATTCAGTCAGTTAACACTGTCCTAAGACGACCTCTGCAAGTATAGTTGCTAATAACACACTGTGTAATATTCAAGAATATTTAACGAAGCAGCGAGACAACCACTACGTTGCTAAATACACGTTGCACTCCTCTGCACCTCTGCGCACTTTGGTGAAATTGGCTGATGGTGATCAATAATTATAGAAGAATCCTATAAAATTGGCGGGAAACAGTGAAGCACCCATTCATTACGTAATTTATATATCATGGCACCTGGTGTTGCTTTAATCTTTTCCCGCGCTTGTACTGTAAACGTTAGTGCGATGACTCGCCATATACACAATGTTTTTATGGGGCATCTTGCGAAAAAGTTTTAAGCAGTTGCGTGGCTTTCAGGTAGAATGCTCCACTACCAAAACTCGTTTCAGGATAAAAATCCACATACAAAAAAATTATCAAAATGCACCATAGCTGTGACGGAAACAAGAGGTAACGGCGCACGTATACGTCATCAAAAGTGGCTGCTGTAAAGATTAGTTATTCCGTGGTTGCTTCAATTCAATGAATGTGTATATATATAGGTGTGCATGCGTAAGAGTTTGCAAAATGTTGATATTAAGCTGCTCACAAATTGCATTGTGTGAAAACCCCCTGCATGGTATTTCTCAAGCACGAAAAACTAAGATTTTACGACACTTTACCGCCAAGTGGGATATCTGGACTGCTAATCCTTGTTCCATCCAAGCTTTGAGTGTTACCAAAATGAGATCTGCTATTGGAATGATTGTACTTACCTGAATAGTGAGCAAGTGTAAACAATTTCTAGGAAGGATCTCATTCAGGAATAAAGCTTTTATTACAATCACATGTTTATTTTACCACCCCTCAATCTTCAATAAACAAAAACAAATTCGTGTCACCGCTCATAAGTCTTGTTCGGTAGGTTGCTTCCAGAGGGACATGATGTCCGAACCCTTGGTCTTTTCCTCGATCTTATCTGCCATCTTCTTCAGCAGCTCGCGGTTAAAGTAGTGCTTCCAGTCTCCCACCTTGGCTTTGCGCACAAAGTTGAACACCTTCACGTCCTGCTGCTTTCCGTCAGCAGAATCTGTTGACTCGAACTCCATAATTTTTTTCATGAACTCTGGACTGCTCTTCTCCATGACTTGTTTAAAAATGTCCTCGTCTCTGTCCAACAGTTTGCCGTACTCTTCCCCGAGGAAGTACGCGAGCTTTCTGATGCTGCCTGGTGTGTCTTGTTTGAATTGTTCGTATGTACTGAAGAACACGTTTGGCTCGTTTCTCATTTCGTAACCGGCCATAATGTGATCGAAGTAGTCTCCGAATCCAAAGCTGCCCTCCAGAAAACAATCAAGGAAATCCTCAAAACTTCCATTTTCGAAGCGGAACTTCGCGATGCCTTTGACATGGTGGTAGAATGACACCGAACAGTCCCATGGGTTCCTTGCCATGTAGACGTACTTGGCGTTTTTGTGGCATGAGTTTCGACTTAGGATCGGCAGGTTGGTACGCATCATTCTTGGCGAAGGCATCTTATCCAGCAGTTCGGGTGTTCCGTTCATCTCCATGAACGCGGCCTTCTCGATGTGGTCGTAGTAATCTGTGGCTGACTCACCCTTGTTGAGTGTTAGTAGGATTACTTGTTGAACCCAGTGTGACCCCGATTTCGGGTAGGCCACTAGGATAACGTCACCATCTCGAGGCTTGAAATTCAAAGCATTTCTTAAGCACTCCGGGTCACAGTAAGGTCCTCGGGGTTCACCATCAATAATGTTATAGTAAGGCACCTGCCTCTGTTTCTTCTGCACTTCTTTCTTGCTCATGGTAGTGTCTGGTATAGCTCCTGTACTTCAGTCTGCGAAAAAAAAGAGCAGTCCTATTTCAGGTTTAGGCAGCGGAGGACTCTACAATCCATCAGCGTGACCAATCGCAAGTGCTACTGCAATGTGACTTGGCAACAGTGATATGAAAGCACATAGTAAGCACGCACACAAACCAGAGTCGTAGAGTGGGCTTGTTTGTTGATTATTAGAAGCAGCTCGTATGACCGAGGCCATGACACAAGCACAAACATTTCGAAGAGCGCTGCATGTATTCCTTCTTTGTGTATTTTTTTCTGTTCCTGTGTGAAGTTCAATTTGAAACCACTTGCATTCAATAAGTTTGGCGGACGCTTTATGTCAAGTGATCAGTGAAAATTTCGAACGTGCGACCACACAAATACTTTGAAATTCCCTGATATATCAAGCCCGCTTACCAAACAGCAAAAACAAATCATGAGAACGCTGCTGAAATCAGCTTGACGAGATGAATTATGCACGCATTTCATTACTGTAATGCATTACACATACAACCACGGCTCATAAAATGAATATCAGCGCCGCCCTACCCAGAAGTGGCCCCTAGCCGTAATTATTTCTCGGCATATACTTGGAAGCACATGCCCTCGACACTCATTGGAATGTCTTACAGTGAAGTGTTTTTAAGGCAACTCTTCCTTCCATGAATTTGCTAGATGTTCTATCAAATCATACGTTGTTGTCCATTCATTGGGTTGTCCTCAGTCTCACTCCAAGCAATAGAGGCTGTTATATCAGCTCAGCTTCTCGGTAGTATTTGAAGCAGTACAAGTGGAGAACGTATGACTCTTGAAATAAACATAGGCGTGCACAGGGAAGGGGGCAAGGGGTGAAAGCGCAAATCCAACATCATAAATTAATAATATGGGGAGAGTGAACGACAAGGGGGCACAGTCAACCCCATGGATTGACACGATAGAGAGGGGGGGGGGGGGCGAGGAACCTCTTCCTAGAGTTACTCTGTATGCTACCTACTAAACGTAGCATATACAGTAACCCTACTCCTTACCCCTGAAGGGCTGCTCTGAGCATGTTCTTGAGTATAAACAGATACGCAGGTTTTGATGACATGTAATCGCACACTGAGACGGATACAGGCATTTAGAGTCAGAAATATGTCACAGGAAAACCTCCACGTAGCGGCCATGCATTAAGCCATCCTACCGCGAGCCCTCCAGAGTGTTTCTGGCTTGTAGCACACCTGCCTCATTCGACGTTAGCAGGTTTTATCGAAGCAGCATAAGCCAACATGTGTTCGCTCCGTTTTGGTTAGTGAATCCCTATTTGTGTTCGTGAAGCTTGGGCCAGTGAGCTTGCACATATATTAGGGATTTAATTCACCACCAAATAACAATAGTAAAACAACTGTTTTCTCTTGTACAATTGGGAGATATCTGAGCGCTTTGCAAACAGCACATAAGCCAGCAAAAAGAGAGGGGCACCCGCAGCAGGGGCGAATGTGGGTGAACTCGGGGAGTTGGTTAATACTCGGTGTAACAGCAACACAAAAGGACCTCAGAATAAGGCCTAGAAATACATAGCATACAGAACATGGTTTGCCCGCGGGTTAAGACAAAAGGAAGATCCAAACCTACTGACCAGGCCTTATCACACTGGGGCAGCAGAAGCAACGGATTTGAAAACAACAATTCAACTTTGTAAATTCTGAATCAACAAGGACACAATCATATTATAGAAAGCATGTAATCACCAATAATAGTTATAACGTAACGACAGTAATGAACATAAAGTAATAATTAGTCGCAGTAAGAACATAAGCACTAATGAAATAAAACAACAAACATCAATAATGCGGTAAATATTAATACAAATAACAATAACCTATATTAACATTACGATGCAATCGCCGAATATCATTTTAACTTTGTAGTGAATGTTACATTAAAAATTGTACAACACATTCGCGTCCAACTCAAGAAACATGTTCATCAATAATTGTTCAAATTCTTGAGCCGTAGTACAATTTCTGGCTACATCAACAACGGTAGGATACATATTTCATAAACACATAGTTGCATACTCGATGGTTTGCATACCATAGTTTGTCCTCGGTTCCTTAGTTATCATTGATTTGCAGTGTAAACTGTATTCTCCTTTTTCTCGACTGAGGTACTGGTTTGAAAAAGCCTCAAAGTTTGCAGCGACCTCTTCAAATATTCGAATGCCGATATTTGCTCTGTAAGAGTTTCTTATGTTAGGAACACTGTAACGCGCCATTAATTTGAAGGACGCTATGTATTCTTTTGGAAATTTTAGCAAACGAACAGCTCCACGTTGTAGTACTGCCAGTTTTTCAATGTCGGTTTTGTTTCCGCTCCCCCATACTAATGAACCAGAGCTAAGATGAGAATGTGCAAGAGAAAAGTATAGTTGTCTGACGAGCTTAAGGGGTAGATAGCATCGAATTCGTTGTAGTAGGCCAACTGATCGTGCAACCTTACTTTGAACTTTATTTATGTGCTTAATCCAGGTTTGGTTTTTCTGAATCGTAACACCTAAAAAATAACGGCTTATCACATGTTCTCGTTGCAACCGTTGTAAAGAAGCATCACAGCATGGCTTAGTTCTTTATTCTTAGAACAAAAAAAGTAAATTTCATTTTTTTCGCATTTAAGTCAAACTGAATAATTTTCAGCCATTGGTGAAGTTCGTTCAACTAAGAACTTGCTGTAATTTCTGGTTCCTGGAGTTGACTACCATAAAACAATCAAATTTTGTCATCTGCACACATTACAATTTATATGCTAGTGGAATGTTTACTGTATCATTGATATATTAAGAGAAACAGTAATGGCCCCAAAATTGAATCCTGTGGTACCCCATTTTTATTTGCGCTTTTTTCTGAACTATGACTTTGCAAGGATGTGCACTGCGATCAAGATTCTAGGTAACTATTCATAAGTTCTAATGCTGTCCCACAAATTCCATACACTTGAAGCTTGCGAAGCAATTTTAATGTTTTATAGAATCGAAGGCCTTACAAAAATTCAAGAATATACTGATGATATGTTTTTTTTTCTGATAATGTTATTATTGTATTCTTGATTCCTAATGACGCTATTTTATTTTCCCTATTTTTCTGGAAGCCATATTGTTGACCCAAAATAATGCATTTTAACCAGCAGGAAACTAACAAAACGCTTATACATAACGCACTCAGCTACTTTAGAGAACAATGGCAGTGCCAAAGTTGGTCTATAGTTGTTTAGATCATCGTGATTACCACCCTTAAAAATCACTGCAACACGAGCTATCTTCAATTCTTATGAAAAAACTCCAGTAGCAAGTATACAGTTGCAGATATGTTTCAATGGACCACATAATAATTAGTAATATCACATGTTTTATGTACAACTGACAGAATACGTCTGCCATACAAAAATTGCTCGAGAAATTTATATTCTCAACATGTGTGTGAATCTAACCCAAAAAAGTGGTTGCATACCGTAGTTGGTATATTAAGATGATTACCTATACCGTATACAGCTTGATTGCCAAAATTGTGGGCTGATTGAGCGCTAATTTGCATTAGTTAAGGCGCACCTCTCCAAACATTTTTCCTGGGTATACTTGACGGTATTGTTTTCACTGCTGAGAAGTTCTTAAAACGAGAGGTAACGCTCGGCTAGAAGCAATCGTGGGTTGGTCCTAGTAGCATTCTTATGCGTGCTGTACTTATTCGCACTTGAGAAAATCTTTACTTGTTTTTGTCTCGTTTCTCACTAAAGTGCAAATAGCTCAATTAGTCGCATTTTCTAAATGACTAATGACGAAGAGATACAGACACAGTCAGGTGTTTCTGAGTAGCTCCAGTATGACAAGCTCATGTCGAAATTATTTTCGATGTTGGTAAGTGCTAAAACATTGAAATATCTGTCAATAAGGCTCTTGCCATATAACGTCTGTTTAACATATACGTGGTCGCTTACGAACGGCTGTCCGCGGAAAACCCAATTTTATGCAAGGTCCTCTACGTCTCACCTCACGCGACCCCGAAGATGTTATTGAGACGGTGACCATAAGATAATACTATATGATGGGTGTTTTACGTACCAAAATTATATTACAGTGACAGATGCCGATGTGGAGGGCTATCGCAAATTTTTGCCCTTTAACGAGCATTTAAACTTGAATACAGGTGTTGTTCTCTCTTTCTCCTCGTATTCAGTGCCCTCTCTGCAGCAACAATTAATACATACCGACATGTCACGTGTTCTGCTTTGTTGTTTTGCTAAGCACACGGGCATCAAGCATTTAGCTTTCGTTGAAATGCGGTCACCACGGCCGGAATTCAATCCCGCCAACTTTGGGTGAGCAATCAAGCACCATAATCACTAAAGAATGGCGCCGTGTGAGCAATATTAAGCTTGAATAACTAATTATAGTCATGACTTGAATCTAGTAAAGTGAGGAGTAACACTGAAGTTTTATCTCAATGCGAATCGTGTTGTATTGAGTTTATGTACGAGGTGACAAAGCGGTGCAATACACAACACGCGCAAAACAGCGTGGTCACCCCGACTTCGAATATAGGCCAATGCGTTGATAGGTCACCTAGAAAAAAACGTCTGCAAATTTCTTTGTCCTTGAGACTATCAGTTATTTAAGCAGTCATTGTATATACAAGTATGGCAATAAAATCATCAAACACTTCAGGCATGTTCAGAATTCTTGAAAATGCCCATTCTTGTTCATTATGCGAATATGTCTACCGTTGACTATTATGGCAATGACAACATTGACGAGTTGCAAGGTGGTTTTGTTGTCTTTTTCAGCCCAGCTATTTTTGCACCGTCTGTGCGAACAAGCTGACACCACCGTGTTTGCATCACGTGCACAGGTCAGCTTCATGGCTAAAAGGACAAACGTTTATTTCTACAGGTCGTTTATAGTGTGCACTAAATTTCTGACTTATTAAAGGTGATCAAGTAAGCGTCCCATTCACGATACACTCAAGAATATACATTACGGAGTG